TTTTTTTTTTTTCTTTCTCTCTTTGGTTTTGTCCCTTTTTGTCTTCATTTAAGCTTTGTAGGTGATTGACTATGGGAAGAAGATTAAATAAACTGGAGTAGTGAATCCCATCAATGGAAGGGAGTTTAGTGCCATTGGGAACAACTTTTCTGATTGAGTGATTTGCTGAATGTGTGATAGACAACAAACTCACCCTTAAACCTGATGTAAAAGAAGACACTTCAATGTATCATGGATTCATAATCTTGAGGCTGCCCTTGATGGGACCTCAATGTACCCATCCAACTTTCTGTTTCAGAGATAAGCCTCCAAATGGTGGCTTTTGGTGTGCCATCAGCTCTGTACCGTTAGTTCTAAGAGTCTTGCTACTCAAACTATGTGTGACGCTATTTATTGTATATGATGCTATACTATTACTTATATGTATATATATGTATTTGTATAAATACATATATATATATATATATATGTGTGTGTGTGTGTTTGTGTGTGTGTGTGTGTATATGACACCAAAACACATACTCAATTAAGTATTAAGGCCACATATAAATACTAAGCGTGTCCAAGAAGCAAAAGCAGATGACCATATCAGCACATGCCCGGAAATAAGATAAAATGTCTGAGACAAATGACCTAGAAGTAGTTCTGGACTCCATTCTGGAAGGAGGGCAGGCCTTGGAAATGCCTTTGAAGAAATTCAGAAAAATGATTATAAAATGTTTCAAAACACTTTACAATGGTGTTGAGAAAAATAAGGAAGCAGTTAGGAATGCGCTACAGGAACAATCAAATAAGGTAGATAGAGCATTGGAAACACTTCAAAACCTACAGAAAGAGGTCCAAATGATCAATAACAGAATATCAGAAATAGACAATATTCTGAAAGTGCAAAAGAGTAGAATAGATGAGACGGAAGGCAGAATCAGTGATCTGGAAGATAAATCTCTCAATACCACTAAGATAGAAGATCAAACAGAAAAAAGGATAAAAAAATCTGAAGAAGTTCTAAGATTCATGTTGGACAACATGAAGAGGAATAACTTAAGAATTATCGGCATTCCAGAACAAGAAGAATCACACAAGTCCACGGAGGAAATAGTTGAAGAACTGCTGGAAGAAAATTTCTCTAACATCCTGAAAAGTGAAACGATAAACATTCAAGAAGCTCAACGAACCCCAGGAAGGATAGACCCCAAAAGAATATCACCAAAACATACCATAGTCAAGCTCTCCAAAATTCAAAGAAAGGAGACACTTCTGAAAATAACCAGGAAAGACAGAAGTCTCACATACAAAGGCAAGCAAGTCAGATTAAGCTCGGATCTCTCAGCAGAAACCATGCAAGAAAGAAGGCAATGGGGAGGCATATATAAAACCGTGAAAGAAAAAAAAAAAATGCCAACCACGAATCCTTTATCTAGCAAAGCTATCAATCAAATATGACACTGTAATCAAAACATTCCAGGATAAACAGAAGCTAAGGGATTTTGCCAAAGCCAACCTTGCGCTACAAAACATCGTAAAGGGAGTTCTGTGGACTGAGAACCAACAAGAACAGAGAACAACCAGAGATTGACATACATGGCATCACCTACCAGAAGTAAGTCAACAGAAGGAATTGTTGAGAACAAAACAAAACTACATGAGCAAACTCAGAGAATCTGGGAGGTCAGTCTATTATCAAAACAAGTATACTGTATAAGAAGGTAAACACGTAGGAACAGATCCAAATGGTGAGAAGGTTAGGTAGATTACAGGATAAAATAGACTGCACTAAATGGAAAGAAAAGTTAATGGACTATAAGACAACTCAGAGAAAATTAACACTTCACAACATACCAAGAAAATGAAAATCCAAGAAGAACATGGAAACATTAAAACTATGTGGAAACTCACAAGAAAGAACACAAACATCATGAACTCAACATAGGAAGACACACAGAACAAAGAAGCAGCAACACCACAGAAAACAAACATAATGGCAGCAAGTAATCAATACCTATCGATAATTATACTGAATGGATATGGATTAAATGCACCTGTTAATCCAGAATGGATAAGAAAACTACATCCTTCAATATGCTGTCTCTAAGAGACACATTTTGCACACAGAGACAAAAACAGATTAAAAGTCAAAGGATGGGAAAAATTATACCAAGCTAGTTGCAATGAAAAATGAACAGGAGTGGCAGTACTAATATCTGATAAAATAAACTTTAAGGCAAAAAACAGCATAATAGATAGAGATAGACATTATCTCATGATTAAAGGGACAATTGAACAAGATGAAATAACCATAATAAATATCTATGCTGCCAATGAAAGAGCTCCAAATTATATAAAGCAAACTCTAATAGAGTTGAAGAAATAGATGAATCTACAATAATAGTGTGTGATTTTAACACACTGCTTTCAAAAATGAATAGAACAACCAGAAAGAAACTTGACAAAGGCACAGAAGAACTAAACAACACAATCAGCCAACTGAACCTCATAGATGTGTACGGAGCATTCAACCCAACAACTGCACATTACACATTCTTTTCCAGTGCACATGGAACATTCTCCAGAATAGACCGTGTTTTAGGTAACAAAACAAATCTCCATAAATTTACAAAAATCAAAATACTACAAAGCATCTTCTCAGACCACAATGCTATCAAATTAGAAATCAACAATAGGAAGACCAA